TAGGGCTTGGCTTGAAGACGCCCAGGGGCTTCATAAGATTGTACAGACTACCGGAATCTGCGGGGGTTGCCTCCGCATAAGCCCGCAAGTCTGGGCAATGTCAAGATCTCAAGACGAAGACGCCCTGCACCCGAACTTTGGGCATCAGGAAGACTTCAGGTTCAGGACCATGTGGTCTTCGGCGCGATGAAGAAACCAAGCTAAGTGCCCTTGACATGAATGGAAAAAAAAAGCACTTCGACAAACCCTGCCTGCAAGAATCTCAAGCCGCCAACACTTCAAACAGCTTGGATGTCAAGACAGCAATACGAGAAGCAAGAAAAGTCTGCGATTCTTCAACCCTAAACCCTAAACCCTAAACCCTAAACCCTAAACCCGAAGCCCTAAACCCTAAACCCGAAAACCTAAACCCGAAACCCTTTCCATCTCTCTTTCCCTATCTCCGTATGGGCTGAGCCGAGCCGGGCCTCGGTCGCAGGGTCGCAACTGCCCTTGGACGGTCTACGCGACGAGGGAAGGGACCCGACCTCGGGATTCTGAGTAGGGCTTGGGGTTTAGGGTTTAGGGTTTAGGGTTTAGGGTTTAGGGTTTAGGGGAGCACCAAAAAGAGAGCGGGAGAGAGAGAGGGAGAGAGAAAGAGTGAGAGAGAGCAAGAAGAAGAGGAAGAGGAAGAGGAAGAGGAAGAGGGAGAGGGAGAGGGAGAGGGAGAGGGAGAGGGAGAGGGAGAGGGAGAGGGAGAGGGAGAGGGAGAGGGAGAGGGAGAGGGAGGAACGAACAAGAGGCCTCCCTCTATGTGGGGACTTGGGGATCCGAGCATGCAGATCAGCCACAGAAGTTCTGACAAACACCATTTGGATTGAGTGAGTTGCGAGTTCTCCTCTGAAAGCGGCGCTTAAGTAATCTGAGTTCTCAATGTAAGCAACCAGGATGGGCTATTAGGCCCTATAATCCCCATAACCAACACCACAAAGGGCTTTTTTGAGGGGTTATAGTATAGGGTATAGTAGCCCATGCAGGAAATAAACATGTTCTCACCTCACGGTGCATCCAAGGTTCCCGCCGGGTGGCTCAGACGCCATGCCCCAAAAACGACAAGAAGTCCACAACCCCAAGCTCGTAACGCTACATCCCAAACCGGGGACTACGACTGGAGCACTCTGACGCAAAGCCATAAGCCAAAATCCCCAGTCCAATCTTTGCCAGCCTAAACTTCGTTCGAAGTTTGGAACAGAGCGCACCCTCACACCTGAGATCTGCATCTCTTTACTTTTACCTCAAGAATCCGAAAAGTCTCGTACCGGCCAACCCTAAGCCCTAACAACAGTTCAGCAAAAGAAGAAGCACGAAGAATCGTAGAAGGGCAAGTCGCCATCGGCACGGTGAGGACTGGGACGTTGGGATCTACGCGGTGCACCTTTGCAGGGAAGTTTTAGGAGTTTGGGTTTGGGTTGCTTCAGCTGGGGGTTTCCGTTCATAGGGGTACCGGGATTCTACATGAGTCTACTATAACCCTAAACCCTAAACCCTAAACCCTAAAGGCCCTAAAGGAGTACCCCGAATATAGGAAGCCCCCAACCGGCTCCAACTGCGACAGAATTCTCAGTAAGACTTCCCCCTGGCACCCGCTTCCGCCCACCCCTAACGCTTGGAGTCTCTACGATGACGCTCACCCCAAGCCCTAAACCCTAAACCCTAAACCCTATGTTTCAACAGGGATCCCAAACAGCACCTTGCAACGGTCGTCATTCGGCACCCCGGCAGACTGCGCCTTCAACAGGGCTTCAGGCTTCTTATGGTGTGAGCCAGCTAGCTAGCTGGCTAGCTGGCTAGTTAGTTAGTTCGTTGGTAGTTAGGTAGTTAGTTAGTTAGTTGGGTAGTTGGGTAGTTAGGTAGTTAGTTCGTTGGGTAGTTAGGTAGTTACTTAGTTAGGTAGATAGGTAGTTAGGTAGTTAGTTAGTTTCCGACACGGGGTTTGGAGCCTTTTACAGTGCGCTCGGCCACTCAGCTGGACAGTTTCACTCAAGGGCCCAAACCTGCATGGGCGATAACCCCTTAAAAAGGCCCTTTCTAGGGTTCGTTAGTGGAATCATAAGGCCTAAGAGCCCATGCTGGAAGGCTTGCCGGAAATGTGACGCATATCCTACAGGCTTCAGGCATAGGGTTCAGCACTTTCAGGCTGTCAAAGTTCCTGATCCTTTGGGCGGCAGGGAGGGTTATAGTCGTTCCATGTCGTTCCTGAAATTGCTCCGCAATTTCTAAAGCAACTTTGGAAGGATTGCGAGGCCTCGACGATCTTGTAGAGGCGCTGAGCCTAGATCGGGTCTGGACATTTGATCTCGACCCAAGAAACCCAGAGGCCCTGCAAACTTTGACCCCGCCCTACGCCTTAAAGGCTTGAAGGATTGAGAACTCCTATACTCCCCTTAGAACCTTAAAAAAAACAATATTATTAATATCCTCTTGGGGTTTATACGAACAAAAATACTAAATAATTCCCAAGGTGGATTGAGAACTCGTATTCGTCAAGATGGGAAGCTGAGACCAAGGACTTGATTTGAGGCTTGAAGGTTTCATGGGGTTGGCGATGCTCCAGAACATGAGCCCAGTGTTCTGCACTCGCCCCCTAAACCCTAAACCCTAAACCCTAAACCCTAAACCCTAAACCTTAATTAAACCCGAAACCCTAAGCTTGGCCATTGCAACACATGTCTATGCCAAAGGGGCCAGGTCCCAAGCGGAGACCATTTCGCCCTGCATCCTGCTCATCTTCTGCATGCTGTCCTCAGCCCGATGATTTTCCTAAACCCTAAACCCTAAACCCTAAACCCTAAACCCTAAACCCCAAACCCCAAACCCTAAACTACGGCAATCCTGCCACGCGTGCTTTACATGCAGGGGTCAACCATGAACCCTGAAATCCAAGGTGCAAACTCTGCAAACTTGGTCACATTTAGGCCCCCTTACCTACATGGCCTATCATACCCTAGAACCCCTTGAAAAAGGCCCTTTATAGGTTAGGCCCTATAACCCCTTAAAAAAGGCCCTTTATAGGGCTGGTTAGGGTGATTATAATGCCTCATAGCCCATGCTGTTAGGAGGGTGGAACGAAGGAACGACCTCTGCTCCAAAGCCGGGTGTCGGCCATGCACTTCGCTTTGCTGACAGCTGCAAGCTCGCTGTCAGCATCCTGTTGAGACGCTTAGGGTTTAGGGTTTAGGGTTTAGGTTTAGGGTTTAGGGTTTAGGGTTTAGGGTTTAGGGTTTAGGGTTTAGGGTTTAGGGTTTAGGGTTTAGGGTTTAGGGTTTAGGGTGGCCGATCTTCAGATGTTTCAATGTATTCGGACATTTGCAGGCGGAGGTCAAATTTCCTGAGACCTCATCTGCAAACCCTGGCCTCATCCCCGAAGCCCACCTGAGACCACTCGATACGCCAAGCTAAACCAAAAGGGTTTAGGGTTTAGGGCTTAGGGTTTAGGGTTTAGGGTTTGCGGAAAGGTGTATCAGAGTTTGAACTTGGGCTTTGTTCAGCATGGGCCCGCCCGGCCAGACCACAACAAACAACAGTGGCCGAAGTGCGCCTCTTTCGGGGAACCTGCAAGGGGGCTGTGGCCCACGTTGTACATAATAAGGTGCGCAACTGCGGAACCGACCAAAGTGAGTGCTTCCCAAGTCATTTTGGGGCGCTAGCACCGAAAAAACAAGAACCCCGCCCAATGATGCCAGGAAAAACAGCACCTGAAGCCGTCGCCACCCGACTGTCTAGCTTGGAAGGCCTTCTCCTGAAACCACTGCTGGAACGGCGTCGGCAGCTCGGCACATTCTTGAACGTGGCTCCTAGTCATTCGGGCATGGGCGGGGGGTGTAGGGCTCTAGTGGAAAGATCTCTGAATTTAGAGGGCTTCGAGTCTTCCACGCAATGTAATTGTCGAAGTGGCATAAACTCTGCTTATTCTAAGTACATCAATCACATCACTTCAAATCTGACCTTCACCTCGGAACTTCCTGCTGTCTCCGCAGACAGAGTTCTCAGCGGTTGTTTTTCGCGCGCCTTCGCGGCTTCGGGTGCCACGCTAGCGGTCACGGATGTTTACGCGGATCTTCGGCGGCGCAAGGAGATAACAATAAAGAAGCTTGTGAAATCGTCAGAGACCGTCAGAGATTTTCTGGTGCTTCACAAGGGTGGCCGAGCAGTTCAGGGTTGATGCTGCGCAGGATTTGGAATTTCGGACTCTGTAAGACTTTGGAACTCTTCAGGTGCTCAGAAAGCCTTGGTTAGTTGGGGGGTCCAGGGCGGTCGCGCTGAGAGGATTCTGCATTGTCTTGAGGTCCTTGTAGCTTAGGACTGGGGCGTCGGGCTCAGCGCGAGATGTTTGGATTGACTCGTTGTTCCGTGCGTGGGGGTGAGTGTTGGGCTATGAATGAGGTTATGAGGGCTCTCAGTGCTCAGGGCTTACCAGCACGGGCCATTATACCCTAAAAACCCCGTAACAAGGCCCTTGATGGGGTTGACCATGGGGATTGTGGGCCGAACAGCACATTTTGGTAGGATTCTGGATCGAGTTTTGGCTCCTCTCCAGAGTGTTGGCGAAGCTGTCGAATTCTTTCTCCAGGTTGGCACATTGCTCATCGATCGCCTTCCCGAGCTCAAGAGAAAGACAGTGGATTACAGGCTACAAACTTGAACTCCAATCTGATCTGAAAGGTACGTACACAGAATGCTGCTGTCCACACGCACACGCTCACGGCAATCACGCAGGCATTGCATTGCGTGGGAAGTTCAGGTTCACCAGTACCAGGCACCGATCCCAAGCCACTACGCCCTTCCTCTTGTATTCAGAAGCGGCGTGCCTACTTTTAGGTCTCACTACGCACAGCCGACTAGCATCGATTAGCCCACCAGCCGATCAGACTTTGCTCACATCATGAAAGTGACACTTCGTATTGAGACAGCAACCGTTACATCAGTCAGCTGCTGAGCACCAAACCACACCCTGCGAGTCACATCACCACATTATCACATTGCTGTCCGTGTCATCGCAAACAAACGGCGTATCCCATGCCCAAACACCGCATCAAGTGTAAACTTCATCACGACAGAGGCTACCATATACTCTGCTAACGCACTATGCTTCATAGCCTTACATGTATCTTGTGGCGAATGGTCACCTGATGCCTCCAACCTGGTGACAGCTCACTGCGCATGCCATCACAAAGCTAATGCTTCAAGCCGTTGTTAAGTATGGAGTTTGAAGCAATCTGATCCTGGTATCGGTGCCAATGAGAAAAATCCCGCCATGCATCTACCACGGAGACTGTACACAGTGTGTCTGTCGTGTCTACCAGCGAGGCAAACATGTGATGTGGTGACATCTGGCGTGAAAGTCTACACCCTGAAAAGGCCCCCCTAAACCCTAAACCCTAAACCCTAAACCCTAAACCCTGAACCCTAAACCCTAAACCCTAAACCCTAAACCCTAAACCCTAAACCCTAAACCCTAAACCCTAAACCCTAAACCCCCTGGTTGGATCGCCTTTTGGGCAACCGCCTCGACGCCATCCTCACCAACCCGCGCCGACTCGCGGATGGGCTCTGCCTGGGGCCGGAGTTTAGGGTTTAGGGTTTAGGGTTTAGGGTTTAGGGCTCTGGTTGAGGAAGGCTTTCGTTTTCGATGCACGCTTCAGGATCCGACAAAGGTCGCAGGTGCAGGGAATGTGAAGGATCCTAGTTTAGGAAGCTACCCATGTGTAGGTAATGCGCAGCCATACGACCTGAGCTTCTTAGATGCGACCAAGCCACGAAGGTGCTGGCCAAACTCCTGCGTCGATTCTTCAGCTCCCGCGACTTTGCTTGCACTCGCGTCGCCAGCTCAACCTTGGGCATGAGGGGCTCATGCCGGGATCATGGTCAGACATCACAGCTGTCCCTGTGCCCAGATCCTCCCAAAGCAAATGAACCCGAGGATTGGGGCATATACCCTATACTACTAAACTCCCTTTGACAGGTATACGGACCCTAAACCCTTTTAGGGTTCATTTAGTCCCCAGAGACTTGCGCCTGCTCCGACTCAAAGAGTGCCCTCAGGTAGTCGAACCGTTGCCGAGACTTCTGCATCTCCATCTGCAGTGCCTCTACACGAGACAGCACTTTAAGATCGAGGATTGGGTTGAGGGTTTAGGGTTAGGCTTCAGGGTTTAGGGTTAGGCTTTAGGGTTTAGGGTCGCGGCCCCCTCATACGCGCACCCCAAAGGTCAAGCATGACCCTCAGACGTTCAGCGTCTACAAAGCTTTTTTTGTTCGAAACCTTTACTCTGCAAACTCTACATCCATCATGAGACTCAAAGTCATAATAACTCCCACATCGGCTCTCACACCCGCAATCAGTCCAAAGCCAAGCCCTCAGCGCAAAGTGCTCAGGGCCTTGATGGAATTCTTGATGACGTTGGCTTCCTTGCGCTTCTGATCATCTCGGTGCAGCTGCCTCGTAGTTTGTGACAATGTGAGTTTAGGCTCTTGGGCGCAGTTTGGTGCGTATCGTTCCTGAACGGTTCACGAAACGCCTTTTGCTCCAGGAGATTCAAGATGAAGACATGACACCCAGATCACTAAGTTCTGAAGGCCTGCGCCAGAAGCTTCAATCCAAAATCACATCCTAGGGTTTAGGATTTAGGGTTTCGGGCTTAGGGTTTAGGGCAAGTCCTGAAAACCGGCATGGTGTGCACAGTGAAACTCTAAATCTGACAAACACCCAGGACGTGCCGCACATTTCATCGCTGAAAGGGCAAGGACCCAGAAGCCTCAGGATATGTTGACGTACTTAGCATGTGAGGTGTTTTTTTCCGGGTATTCCTATACACTTGCCAATATCTCTAATGAGCCCTGAACATGCAAACGTGGAAGTTCAGAACCGGGATGCTCGATTCGGGCACGGTCCAGCTGATCTTGGGCCGACTGGACCTTGACCTGGTGGATGCAGGGGGGTGGTTTAGGGTTTAGGGTTTAGGGTTTAGGGTTTAGGGTTTAGGGTTTAGGGATTAGGGTTTAGGGTTTAGGGGTTGTGCTTGTGTTTGCTATCCTTTGCAGGGATGTTGAATGGGTTCTCGCATTGGGGCTCAATGGGGCTTAGAAATTTGCGGTGGGGTTTGAAGATGAACTCCACAATCCGTCCTGAGCACCTCACGCGATTGAGCCCTGCGTTGGAGGGCTCGAGTTCTTTCCATTTAAGTGGGTGTGTGCCTGGGTCTCCGGAGACAAACAGGGTCTATGAATGCCGCGGGATGCAAAACCAAATTCGGACCTCAACTCGGGAACCAGCAAGAACAAAGGGGGAACCTCGGCCTTCCGCGGCTTCCCCCTGAAGCAAAGATCCACTCGGCCCCGAGCCGAACAGATGAAGCAAGCGGACGTCAACCGTAAACCCTAAACCCCTAACCCTAAACTCTAAACCCCTAAACTCCTAAACTCCTAAACCCCTAAACCCCTAAACCCCTAAACCCCTAAACCCCTAAACCCCTAAACCCCTAAACCCTAAATCCTAAACCCTAAACAGCACACCCAGCACCCCGAGATCCCCAAAAGCATCGTCTACAAGTCCGATGCCGAAGCCCATGGAAGCCGCACAGCCACCATCCTTATTGCATCTGGCAGATCCCCTCTACAAAGAGTAGGCCTAAAACCATTGCCTATAAACCGCTCTTGTAAGCATGAGGGCTTCCGAAAATAGGGGTGCCTTATTGGGGTCCTTATTATAAGGGAGTCCTACTATTTGGGGGTCTATATGAGGGGCCGCTTATTCTCGCAAACCCCCCACATCTAGAAACCTGATCAAACTCGCCTCCAGCTGGAAGGCGGCTCTTCTCTCGCTGAAAAGCTTCTCATTTGCCTCTGCCAAGCGTGGGTCCGGGGATGTGTGAGGCTTTTGGGTTCCGGGTTTCGGGTTTTGGCGGTTGGCAGGTCCCTGAACCCTAAACCCTAAACCCTAAACCCTAAACTACTAAACCCCAAACCCTAAACCCTAAACCCTAAAACCCGTATGGGTTCGGCACCCAGGCGGTTGGAGGCGTTCTGGGCCTGTGCTGCCAACTGGGCGCGTCGCGGGGACCACGTCTAAGCTCCGTGTCATCCACATGAGGGTTTATGAGAATAAGGGACCCCCCAATATATACCCAAAATAGTAGGATCCCCTTGTAGTAGGGACCCCAGTAAGGTGGCCCTAATATCGTAAACCCTCAAACCGTTTCTGGCTGTTGATGTTTGCTCTCAGGTTTGGCTTGTCCTCGCCATTCCCTTCCCAAGCGATCTTGTCCCGTCGACCTATCTGGCATTGCTTGACGGAGCGTAGCCGGTGTTTGCCTTGTGCTGTCAAGGGTGGCTCCTGTCCAGAAACTGAAGGAAGCATACTTCCTTGCTCACTCTGGAATGAAGCATTGCCGAAAGTACTTTGGCCTCTATAGGGTTCCCTCTGACCACGCCCTGGAAACCCTGAGATGCGGTGGAGTCGGCTTCGGTCGCTCGGCACCGATGCGTTTTGATGCGCGTCCGCTTAGGTTCGTGTCGTCGGCACAAGCTTCTTTTCACGTTTCGGCCCGCTGCAGGTACAAGGCACAACTACTTTGTAACTTTTTTGTGATGCTGTATGTACTGCACCGGAAATCCTAAGGGAGGTCATTGCTCTTCAGGGCTTCAGGATATTGAGTCTTGGGCTGAGGGGAGCTTTATTTACTATTTCTAGCACTTTTCAGGTACCCCTGCCACATGTGGACGCTTGGTCCACTCAAGACTCTCAGAATTCACTAAGAAGTGAAGGGTTCCTGTGATTGAATGGGACCTGGGTCTCGCTCCCTTTGGCAGGCCAGCCCAGGCCCTGAGTATTCGCGGAAGGCTCAAGCCCAAAGGACTCCACCTCAACATGACAAGCTTCAAGAACCAATTTGCATGTTCAAGCCGGGCAAGCTTCCCCACATGTGGGTGGTTGTCAAAATCATGATTCCTTTTGGGGGTACGCTGAATGCTAGGTGCCGTATTATAATGGGGATCCAAAAAAGGGACCATCATGTTGACAACCACCCAAACCATGGACAGGCTGCTGTTGGACTTTTAGGAATATCCCTATTTTAGGACCCCCTTATACAAACAGCTCCTGAATAGGGACGAACCCTAAACCCCAACATAGGGGGCTGCTATGATCCCAATGACCCCGATATCCTCGCAAAGCCTGCTCCAGCACATCCCCCAGGTCGAAGGTCTCGGAGGGCTGGGAGACGCTGCTGGCCTTCTGGCCCCAAGGAGAAGGCTGGGTTTAGGGTTTAGGGTTTAGGGTTTAGGGTTTAGGGTTTAGGGTTTAGGGTTTAGGGTTTAGGGTTTAGGGTTTAGGGTTTAGGGTTTAGGGTTTAGGGTTTAGGGTTTAGGGTTTCGGGCTAAACTGCTTAGGGGGAGGTGCTCGAGGTCTGAAGGTCTTAAGGCATCTCCAACTCAACTCCGAGGCTGGGTGACATGGATCGAAAGAAGGATGAAAAAAGGAGGGTCTGAAAAAACCCTAAACCCTAAACCCTAAACCCTAAACCCTAAACCCTAAACCCTAAACACTAAACCCTAAACCCTAAACCCTAAACTTGTAGCGGTTTCGTCGTGGTTCCGTCGTGGTTCAGGTGAGCAGCCCGGGACATGGCGCCCACTCCGGAGCGCATGCTGCGGATACTCTTCCTGGGCGCCCGCTCTGAGATACCGGGGAGAACTTCAGGGCCTCAGGGCTAAAGGGTTTAGGGTTTAGGGTTTAAGGTTTAGGGTTTAAGTTAAGGTTCAGGGCTTAGGGCTTAGGGATTAGGGCTTAGGGCTTAGGGTCCCTGGGGCTTAGGTTTGTAGGGTTTAGGGCTGGGCCCCTGGGGCTTAGGGATTTTTGGGTTTGGGATCTAGGGCTTAGGGCTTCGGGTGTGGGCTGAAGAGCCCACCCTAAACTCAAAATCTACAACAAGTTTGATTGTTCTGGTGCTCGTGGGCACTCGGGCTTGGGTGGTTCCTCGCGCTTCCGGGCTTCTAAACTTCGCAACTCGGGTCCAAGAAACCAAGACATGAAGGACTTCGGGCACTGCAGAGATTCAGAGTTTCAGGGGGGTTGATGTACGATTCCAGATGCGGAAAATCATTCAAGTCCAAACGCCACCTCAAACACCCCAACGGGCTGAGGGCCGTTGTTCTACTTACTTGTAGAGGAGGCTTTCTTCCGGACCAGAGAAACTACCTTGTCTGTGTTGCTGCCAGTCGTACATGTTGGGTTGTGGGTGCTGGAGGCATTCTGCTCTTCCTTCAGCCGCCCAGCAGGCTCGTAATGAAACCAAAAAGCAAACATCAGGATTGAACGTATTGAGCTCCCAAAGCCAAAGCTCTGAGACACTATGCGAAACCCTACAAAGACCCTATACTGCTTGGTAGCCCAGTACCCACATGACCCGTTTTGGGGTTGGACGGAAACCCTGGACCAAAAAAACAGGGCAAAAGGGTACCACTGGGCTACCCTATACTGACATAGGAGCCTTAATCACTAGAACAGGGTTTTGGGGGTTATTCTAGTATATTTAAGAAGGCGCCATAAGGGAGCAATGACTATGACAGTAGTTCTTATGACCCCTAGATTACACTCACACTGGGCGTAAAGCCCTACAAAGACCCACAGCCACGGTTTAGGCTTTGGGGTTTAGGGTTTAGGGTTTAGGCTGTACTGACAAGGCAAAGGTCACACCCGACACCGCTGTGCGAGCCCCGCCGGCAACCTTGGGTGCGCCGGGCATGCCAGGCCTTGGACGATTCGAGGCTTCAGTTCCCGAATGGCAGCTTTTAGGGTTTAGGGTTTAGGGTTTAGGGTTTAGGGTTTAGGGTTTAGGGTTTAGGGCATGCGAGGGATTGCAGGATGATGTAGGGCTGAATTTCTCGCATTTTGCGGCTCGGCAGGGTAAGGTCGTTGGAGCTCGGGCTCTTAAGACTGGCTCAGAGTATCTGAGGCCTCACAAGCTTGTAGCTTCCTGTAGCTTCCTTTGACTCAGATACGCATTTAAGACCTGAGTGCTGCTTATGAGAGACCTGTAGGGCCAAGACTAAGGGTTGAGAATCTGTTTGGGGTCATGCTTTGTTTCTGGGCTACCAAAAAGTCCCGGTTTTTTGGTCAGATGTCTAGACGCTTCAAACTCCTACAACTCCCAAGATCCACAGATGAATAGCCCTAAACCCTAAACATCCCTAAACCCTAAACCCCAAACCCTAAACCCTCAACCCTAAACCCTAAACCCTAAACCCTAAACCCTAAACCCGAAGCGAAAACACGAAATCGTGATCGAGGCACGACGGTCCTGCCCCATGCACCTCCAGCTGGTGCTTCAGGTTCACGATCTCCAAGGTCAGCTTGGAGATCTGCCTGGGTTTAGGGTTTAGGGTTTAGGGTTTAGAGTTTAGGGTTTAGGGCTATTCAGATTGGAGATCTTCCTAATATGAGTCTTTCTAGAAACCCCCATACAGGGGCCTGAATAATTAGAATTCAGGGTTTTTTTGGGGGGGTTATTAGAGTATAATTACAAAGAGACCATAAGGGAATCTGCGTAGTAATTATTTTGACCCCTACATTAGAGCTCTTGAAGCTGTTGAACCAGGCGTGCAGCACGGTGTCCCTACTACACGGAGTGGGGATGCAAAGCAAGCTAAACCCTAAGCCCTCAACCCTAAACCCTAACTCCCTAAACCCTAAACCCTAAACCCGACACCAAACTTTGACGAAGCTCTTGGACATCTGCTTGTCATTCCCCTCAGCATCGCCACGGGCGACGTTCTGAACCGGCTTGTTCTGGACGTTCCTGCCATGGTGGAGAATGGTGGGAGTTGTGGGAACGGTAGGCTTTAGGAATGTCGAGTTATGGTGGGAATGGTGGGAATCGTATGGGCATGGTGTGATATGGTGGGATGGCGAATGGTGGGAATGGGGTGGGGAATGCTGGGTACGGATGGAAACGTCCCTAAACCCTAAACCCTAAACCCTAAACCCTAAACCCTAAACCCAAATCCTAAACCCTAAACCCTAAACCCTAAACCCTCAACCCTAAACCAAGCGGCTGGCAGCGGTCGGCGAAGAAAAGAGAGTTCAGGGACTCTTCGTAGTTGTCCGAAGATGGGTCGACCGTCGTCAGCAGCGTCGTATAAGAGTTGCCACCCAGGGAGTTCCTTGCGCTTTGTTTAGAGGCTTAAGGGCCCGAGTCTCACATCCAATATAGGGGCCTTATTAATTAGAATAGGGTCGGAGGGTTATTATAGAAAAGTTCTATAGGAAATACTGTTAGTATTTATTCCTACCCCTATAGTAGAACGTGACCTTCATGCTAGCTGCAGTTCCTCTCTCCACCGCAGGCAACAGTATGGAACAAGGCCCTGGACCATGTGGCCGATGTGGAAACTGCATTCAGGACATCAGGCAGGTAACTCGTAGCGACTCTGAACCTCAACTATGTGTCACAACTATTGAAAGCCTCTGCGATCTAGGCCTATGAGCCACGATTCTGCGACATCCAAGCCGTAAAGCCGCGGTGGTGCCGTAAAGCAGTCCAAACTTGTGACAGAATACTGTTGGCTGGGGACACCGTGCCTCAAATCACAACACTAGGACTTACATGATTCACGCAAAAGAGTACGTGCAAGCAACGCAAAAGGCAAGGTCCTAAAGTAACCAAGGCCTTTTGGCTCCTTTGACCTCAGCCTGAAGCCGCGGCCCTGTAAGAAAAAACAGAAGGATTCAACTAAGGCTATAGGGTTGAGGGATAGCCTGCGGACTGTACCATAGCCCAGCACCTTATCCGAAAGTACCTGACAGCGGCAGCCAAGACCACCGAAACCCGAAACCCACACTTCCAACACTTCCTCCAAGGCTCTGCAAAATGCGCGTCAACTTGGAGTCGCGGTAGGGGATGTGACGTGCCCGGTCAGAGGCCAAGGCCAAAACCACCTTTTGACAGGCTTTAGCCCTAGGGGTTGTGGGCAGCAAAGGGTGTAAGGGCATTTTTGGAATGTTCCCCCCTACTAGCAGTCCTTCCTAGGGATTATAGTACCCCCTTATTATAATCCCCACTAAGAACTGTTAGTAACAGGGGGAACATCCCAAGGCACATTGTTTATACAGGAGACCCCGACCTTGCCCAACGCGGAGAGGGAGCTGTTGATGATGACAGCCTCCTGAAACCTCCTTCCTTCGGATTGGCTCCGCGCAAGCCTCTCGGACCCTGCCAGGTCCACAAAGTTCACCACGCTTCCTTGGTAGCGGTACCCTTTTTGGCCTTTTTGGGGGTTGGCTACTTGATAAGGGGGATCAACATCAAAAGGGAAAAAGGGTACCGCTGGGCTGCCAAAGCTTCCCACGACACCACTCTTCGGATCCGACTTGGACTTCTGCACGATGCCTTGTTTCGACGAAGGAGGCTTGACTCAACATGTAAGCGAGCCCTCGGCTGTACAACACCTCATACGCGGTAAACATGAAACCCCTCAGCCCGAAAGCCCCAAATCGCAAAAGCCCCATCATATCACACCGAGTGCGCTCTGATTCGTGAGGTTTGTGCCGCCATTGGGAAGCTCGGGGCGTTGGGATCTTGCAGTTGTAGCCCAATCCCTGCATGAGGGTTTGGGGGAGCAACTGAGAGCATGTTTGAGGAACTTGGTAGCCATTTTTGCGAGCCCCTACCGCAAGTTGTTCGTGCCAGGGCTCCTAGAAGTCTCTACGCCCAAAGCGCTAGCAAGGGCGAGCAGCTCACACTGAAGATCGTGTGTGACCTCGAGCTTCGTGCGTTGAGTCTGGTCTCCTGGGCTCTTGCACGATTCTGCTCAGGGACAAGGGCGGTCCCCCCTAAACCCTAAACCCTAAACCCTAAACCCTAAACCCTAAACCCTAAACCGCTTTCTGGTGGGGCTGGGCCTGATGAAATCTGGCACAAGAGGAAATGTGAGGGGCAACTCTGGGGTTGTACAACTCTGAGGACAATTGCAGAGACGCTTCTGAGGGTTGATTATGGGGATTCTAGGGCCCTAAACCCTAAACCCTAAACCCTAAATCCTAAACCCTAAACCCTAAACCCTAAACCCTAGGCCCTAGTAGCCCATCCTGGTAGGGCCCTTAAGAGGCAAGGAGCGAAGGTTGCCCGCATCTGCACCCCGAGGTTCGCCACGCTCAACACCTCCGGGGAGCCCTAAACCCTAAACCCTAAACCCTAAACCCTAAACCCTAAACCCTAAACCCTAAACCCCTTGGAGGGTTCAAACCTGAGGGAAGCTGGGCTTCCAAACTCATCAAACTCTGTTTAGGGTTTAGGGGCTGAAGGGAATTGAGGATATGAACAGGGGAGTTCAAGATTCGAAGGCTGTGAACCGTTGTGAAGCTGAAGAATGTTGTGAGGCTTATGATGCGGCAAGGCCCTAAGGTGAATGGGTTGGGTCCCCCCAGCCAGGCAAACATCGGGTGGGCTTCAGAGATTCGGGCTTTAAGATTCCAGGTGTGAAAGGTGAAGATGCGTGGAATGGCCGCAGTCGTACAATCAGGCGAAGCATCATTTAGGTGCAGGCCCCGCAGATGCTCAAGCCACACGCCACGCGAAAGGCCAGACAAGTCAACCTCCTAACACCCCCCAAAAAACCACCAAGAATTGTGCACCCAACGCCCTCCCACCAAAAGAACCACCAACATGTGTACACATGGCTTTCATGAGGGCCGTCCACATGGTCCAAGCATCCCAAGCACGCCCAAAACGAGTCTTCTATACTGAACTTGGAACCCCAGCAAAAGTTATAATTGTAGCTGTTTCTTAGGAATTACAGTGCCCAAAAGATTTTCTTAAACAAAAACAAACTCCCAAGAACCCCTAAGTCTTGGACCTCCCGGATGTTCGTCACCGGGATCAGCGACAAGTCTTCCACGTAGACCAATCCCTGCGGGGTCTCGTGGATCGCCAAATCTTGCCGAACCTCTCTTGGGCTTTCCAGCATGGGCTCGTATACCCCATAACCCCTTATATAAAAAGGCCCTTTATAGGGTTGATTATGGGGATTATAGGGCCCAATAGCCCATCCTGGTTGCTTTTGTGGAGATGCTGAAACGATTTCGTGTCAAAGCCCTGAGGATGTTTGAAGCAGTTGTGTCGAGGACCCAGCCCAGTCGAAAACGCCACAACCAGCATGGGCAATCATGCCCAACAACCCCTTAAAAACGGGACTTAATAGGGTTCATTATGGGAATGATAGTGGGCCTAATGGCCCATCCTGGACGGCTTGAGGTGTATAGCGCCGCAGCCCCCGATTGTCTTTTGATTTCTTGGGCTTGAGGTGTATAGCACCGCAGCCCCCGATTGTCTTTTGATTTCTTGGGGTACTTGGTGCCCATAGAACCTGCAGGAATTTTGTGAGCCGCATGTTTTGCTTGATTTTGGGAGCATAAGCATGTTGCCGCCATGAGACTGCACATTCCAGGTCCCAAGGAACTCGAATACAAGCCAGCGAGCGTTGGCAGTTATTTTGTGAGCCGCATGTTTTGCTTGATTTTGCATGGTTTTGGCATGATTTTGGTTGAGTGCATGCTTGCGTTTTTTTTGGTGCTGAGAGTGAGCGATGGCACCAACAGGCAATAAAAGTCACGCCAACCACATCTTAGGAAGGCAGCAGATGTGCAGTTGGCCTGCGCATTTGTGTTTGAAAGCAACACACAAGTCCTGACACAGGGAAGTAGTGATTGAATGGCAGGTGCCGCAGGTGCCCTCAGGGTTACTTTGGCGGTTTAGGGACTTGATTGTCAGTCTGTCTTGCTTCAGTTCGTGACTCAACCCCGGGGTTACTTGCGGCTGCACTGGGCCCTTGTAGTGAAGGGTAGCCAACTGGTGCATGCCAATGGGCCTCGGGGGTCTCCCCGCGTCTGTCGTGTGTCCGTCTGTTCTTGTTTCAGTTCTTGGCTCAACCTGGTGGTTACCTGCGGCTACACTGGGCCCTTGTAGTGAAGGGTAGCCAACTGGTGCATGCCAATGGGCCTCGGGCGTTTGTTCTCTCTCTCTCTCTTTCTCTTTCTCTTGCTCTTTCTCTTTCCCTTTCTCTTTCTTTTTTCTCTCCCTCTCTCTCTCTCTCTCTCGTTGTCGTCTGCCTGGATTTTTTCTCTAGGTTGCTTAGGTGGCTGTCTGTTTAAGCACTTAACATCTCCTTGGCCCGAAGCCAAGCCGATCGCATGAGTGGATGGCCCAGGGCTGGTGCCAGGACTGCTGCAAGCTTTATTTTTTTTGGTTCTGTCATAGCTTTAAGACGTTCTTGCCTGAGCTGTGAAGGGGTTCTGCTCTGTCTTTGTTTTCGCCATAAAAGGCATCAGCTTCCAGCAGTAGCCTGCTTGAGAGATTGGCTTACGGCCTCTGTGTTAGCGCTCATGGCACTTCCCAATGCGAGGGTCCAAGAAGCATTCGAGAAGTTTGTGATGAACCTGGAGATTGAACGGCACCAGCAAAGCCTCAATCTGGACATCTCAGCAGAATCCCCCACGTCGCCCGCAAGCTCAGTGTGCGCAAGTCCGCGACATGTGCCGCTAAGCTTCCGGAGGAAACGGTGCAGTAGCTCGCGCTCTCATAGCCGCAGCCGCTCACCATTGCCTTGTAACGGGGGCCCTGTTTTGAGGGGTGTTTCCCCCGCCAGGAGGAACCACCCCTCAAACAGTTTGGGACGAGATGCAGTGGCAAGAGTAGCTATCAACCCAAGAGATGAGTACTTGCAGGCAGAGTTGAGCAAGCTTACTGAGCAGATCAAGGTTGACATCATGAAAGCCATCAGCCAAGCCTTGAAAGACACTTCTCAGCTGGCACATACGCTTCATGATCGCGCCGCCAACCAGCTAGAGAGTCATGACACTGAGGCCCCAGCCTGTTTTCACAACACAGTAGCTCGGCCCCCTCTCAAGAGTGACTGCGCTGGCCTTTCTTCTTCCTTGTTTAAGACTAGCAGCGGGGATGAGGCGACTGACCTTCAAGTCTTACAATCTGCTGAGCAGATTCTTGAAGCGATGGACGCTTGTGCTTCTAAGCTGGGAGAGCTACCGGGCACTGCTAAGGCAAATGTGACCTTGACGTTTTGCCCTCAGCCATCTAGTGTAACAGCCCATGCCTTGAACTGTCGTGTCAGGGCCATGGGTGTTAATTTGTGTGACAAAGTTACTGAGAACAGTTGTAGATTTCCAAGGGGCCTGTTGGGCGGACAGCGGGGCCAGCCAAGCATAACAATTTTCTGGACCAGCACGCACAAGATTACTGTGCAGGTGCATGCCAAGAAAGCAAATGTAGTACTGAAAGGCAGAAGATCTGCCTTCTCCCATCCTGTGCTTCGTAAATTCGTCCCCTTTTTAGGGGCACCTGTTTCGGCAATCACAAATGCTGGCAGTGAAATCTAGTTGCTTAGGTCCTGTTGCGCCTTGGCCCTTGGATTCTGTTTGGCTGTTGTGTTTTTCTCAACGCTTCGGCCTGTGCAAAGATGCTCCCTTTAGGTTGAGCGGATGCAGCCTAATTTGCTCTTTTAGTGCACTCTTGGATGCGTTGTTGAAATGAAAAGTTGTGTGCGGCCCCTCTGCTGGGTGTGTTGTTTTTGCTTGTTGTGTGTGTGTGTGTGTGTGTGTGTGTGTTTTTTTTCTCCTCCTCTCTCGCTGTGCGCCTGCTGTGTCTTTGTTTTTTCTGTTCTTGTGTTGTGTGGTGTTTCTGTCTTGTGTGTGCGTGGTGGTGTGTGTTTGTGTGTTTGGGTGTTTGTGTGTTTGTGTGTGTGTGTCTGTGTGTTTCCGTTTTTTTGTTTTTTGTTTTGTTTTTTGTGTGTGTTGTTTCTGTGTTGCTTGTGTGTTGTTTGTGTGTTGTTTGTGTCTTGTTTGTTTGTTGTGTGTGTGGTGGTGTGCTCTGTGTGTGTGTGTGTGTGTGGGTGTGTGTGTGTGCGTGGGTGTGTGTGTGGGTTGTGTGTGTGTGTGTGCTTGTGTGCTTGTTTTTGCGTGTGCGTGTGCGTGTGCGTGTGTGCGTGTGTGCGTGTGCGCGTGTGCGCGGATGCGCGTGTGCGTGCGTGCGTGCTGGTGGGCGGGCGGGCGGGCGTGTGTGCGTGCGCGTGTGGGTGTGTGGGTGTGTTGCTGTGTGTGTCTGTGTGTGTGCTTGCGCGCGTCTGCTCGGTTGCGGTGTGTGTGTGTGTGTGTGTGTGTGTGTGTGTGTGTTGGTGGGTGGGTGGGTGGGTGGGTGGGTGTGTGTGAGTGTGTGTCTTTGTTTTTGTGCCTGTTTCTGTGGTGCTTGTTATGTATGAATGTCCTGTTCAGGACTAATGGCAACTGAGGAGTGCAGCCAAGCATGCGGCGCTCTTGAAATGCATGTCCTGAGCTGGTTGACAACCAGCCCACGTCGGCTGGAGCTTTGTGCTGCCATCAAGGATTTCCAAGGAATTGTGGATGCAGCGCCACAAAACCCGGCGAACCTGGCACATATAGGTCAGGGAAGGTTACGCAGACTGTTGCCTTTAGCTAACATAGTGACCTCATTGAAGGGGATGCTTGTCCAGAAACTCTTGCCACACATGCGCGCAGCGGTAAGGAAGGTTATCCCTGTTGTCTCGCCTTTTTTGGGTGGCATCAGCGATGTTCCTGCTGCAAAGCACAGTAAGCATGAATGCTTCTCTCTGAAGGTGGCGACACTCAACCCTGGGCGCACAGGGTTTCTTGCCTTGGCCACCGAAGAAATCATGTGGTGGAGGGTTTGGCATGTCACGTCTGCGTTGATAAGTAGGGACATTCAGATTTGTGTGTTACCTGGTGCACGGTGGCCGCCAGGAGCTTCGCTGCCTCCGGGCCTACCTTTTATCTGGTTAGGTACGCAAACCTCAAGCTGGAGAGCTGTGGGTATGCTCGTATCTACTGAAATTGTCAGTCAGGTTCAGGTTATCGATGACCTGGGCTCTGATGTTATCCTGTGGGTCTGGGTTGGGAACAAGGAAAGGGGTGCCCTGTCGCAAATCATTATTGGCGGCATTTACCCGCGACCCGGGGGTGATGTTGAGACCTGGACTCAAATCTTAACCGAATTTGCTGTCCTGAAATCGAGGTTTCCTGGCATTAAAATCTTCATAGTTGGTGATGCGAATCTTCACTTGAGTTATCTAGTCCAGCATGAGGGCCGCCGTTGCTCGTGCCTGCACTGCGCACAGAAGCGCAATGATGCCAAAATTGAAGCTGATCTTCAACAAGCTGATGTCTTTGCTTTCAACCCTCCTGTCCCCACGCATTCTTCGGGAAGCATCATTGACCTGGTGTTGTCGGACGCTGGCAGTCCTCTTAATGTGTTTGTGGATTCGGAGAGCATAGGTTTGTCGGATCACAAACTAGTCTGGGCTGACTGTTCTGTGCAACTCCAGTTTTCCTTCACGTGCTCGGTAGGAAGGGTTCTCTGGGCCAAGCCAAGCCTGTGGGAAGATGTTTTCACTCAAGCCTTGCCGGTGCTTCAAGTGCTTCGCCGGGCTACGGAAGAGGCGACTGAAGAAATCCTAGAGGCTCGCTCACTGCAAGTCAAAAGGAGAAGAGCAATTGTTGATGCGGCGGCTTGGGCCAGGGACGCCGTTGTTTGTTTACTGGGCCACAGCTCTGAACTCACTTCTGCTAGAGTAGCGAGTAGCGGACAAGTCGACCGCGGAGGCCCTGTGTGGCCGAAGTCTGTCCCGAGGCCTGAAGAGTTTGATGATTACGAGGCCTATAAGTCGGCAATGGCTGATTTCAATGCAGGCATCCGAGAAGGTGTCTACAACAAATTTGCCGCTCTGAGAAGCTGTGATCCCAATGAAGCCAAAAGGTTCTTGTCGACATGCTTTAAAGGAAAACAAAATTTCCAGGTGGCCCTCACAGATGAAGAAACGGGTCAGCTGCTGTCAACACAGCAGGCCCTGCAGGCGCTAGTTGAAGATTTGGAGGCCCGTGCAGATGTGCATGCTGAGCAAGTTTCGGCCGAGTCCTGTTG